CCACAAAACCAACATTTATTGCAAGTTCTAATGATGTTTGAAAGAAAACATTTTAATATCATGCTCAAGGAACGTTTTAAGGATATTGATCATTTCAAATAAAGTTCCCATGAGGTTAAAAGTGAACTAAGACAGAACGTTTTAACATTCAGAGGACGTTTGGAGGATGTTGTCAGATTATGTTCCATGGAAGCAGAAGAACGTTCACAAACCAACATACACAAAATGTTTTCAGGATGTCATCGAGACCTTGGTAGACAGAGTGAAACGTTCCTGGAATGTGATGGAACATTTTGCCTGCAATGCTCTGAGGATGTTTTGAGGATGTTGCTGTTGAGAACGTTCTCCTATAAACTTTATCCTGCCTCTAAGAAGAACTTTTTGGGAACTAAAAGAAAACTCACTGAAAACATTAGTAGAAAATGGCAGATGTTTTTTGGAACATAAAAAATATCTTGCGTCCCGTATGGGAACCTTCTATCTAGAAAAAAAGAAAACGTCTCTCACAGAGGGATCATCTTTTTTGTTTAAACGTTCTGAAAACATTCTAAGAACATGATATTAACAAAATGCTACAAAGAAAGCCACGGCCAAACAAAAAGCTGCAAAGCTCACAAAACGCGGCAAAGTGCTCCCCAGAAGGTCCTTCGCAAACCAAAAAGGAAGTCTCAAAACCAGGAGGAAGTGAAAACACCCTGCTGCTGTAAAAATCCTGCGAACATAAAGAACAACGGAACAAACGGCAAAAGAACCTGCGCAACAAAAACATCCGCCCAGGGTCCAACCGCAAGAAACCGCTGCAAACCCCAAGAAAGGTCTGCAAAAGGACCGTAACGTTTACAGCACAAAATGTACGTTGAAAGCTCACAAAAGACGTTCAAAAACCGCTAAAAAGACACTTTCCAACACTGCATAAAGAACATTCTTCCTTGGTTAGCACAGTTTATAGAAGAACGTTATGAACAGGAACATCCCCAGAACATTGCAGACAAAATGTTCTACTTTTGGTAATATATCACACGACAGGAACGTTTAATTAAAACACATTCTGTCGTCTGAGGCCTTGGGAACATCTGGAAAACATTTTCTGAATGTTGGATTGAGAACGTTCTTCTTTTGTTAACATGGAACATAACCTGATGACTTTCTCCAACCATCCTTTCAATGTTAAAACGTTCTGTTTTAGTTCATTCCCCAACAAAGTTCTGCAAAGTTCTACTGATGCTTTCAGCAGGACGTTTTCTTCTAGCTCGTAGGATGTACGCTGACGTGTCTCTAAAGATGCTCTGAAATTTCCAAAAAGTTGCACCAAGAACGTCCGTCTTTTGATATCATGTCACATTGTGGGAACGTTTTATTAAAAAACGTTATCAGCAGCAACATCCTCAGAACATTGCAAGTAAAATGATCTGTCAAATTAGAGGAACGTTTTATAAAACTGCTGCTGAGGTCTCAATAACATCTGGAAAACATTCTTTAAATGTTGGATTGAGAACGTTCTTCTTTTGTTATCATGGAACATAATCTGAGAACATCCTCCAAACATCCTCTGAACGTTGAAGCGTTCTGTCTTGGTTCACTTTTAACCTCACAGGAACATTACTAGAAATGATAAACATCCTTAAAACGTTCTTTGAACATCAGACTAGAATGTTTTCTTCCCCAACATGACCAGAACCTGTAGGTAACGTTGTGGGAACGTTCCCTGCCCGCTGGGCTCCTGCAGACACTGGCTGGAGGATTAAGTGGACGCAGCAGAGGCTCCGTGTTTCCGGCGGCTGATCACAGAGAAGCTCGCTGACCTGCGGACGCCTCTCTGCGGCTGAACTCTGCTCACTGAGCCGCTTCACACGATTTCAGAAAACTCGGAGCGACTTCAAAGTCTTACCGAAGAAGAGCAGCAGCGGCGCGGTTCGCATCTCCATCCAGCCGCAGGCGACCTGTGACCCGCAGCAGGTTCTCCAGACACTGCAAGGAAGCAGGGATTAGAAAGCAGCTGGTACTGACCCACATATGAGCAGAAACCCGCCTGACATTCAGAACCAGCGGGACTCTGACAAAACGAGACTTTTTCTGCAGCTTCAGGTCCGAACCAGTGGATTTAAACACGAGATAATTCAAACTAACTGCTGTCAGCTCCGTTAAAAATGTTTCCAGCTTCAGAGGTCAGAGAACCACGAAGCGGTTCTGCTCTCACCGGCTCGGTTCTGGTTCGGATGTTCTCCCGGTTCCTCGGTTCCACACTAGCCTCCGTCTCCGTCCACTTGTTGCCGGACAGAAGCGGCGTTCTGCTCAGGAGTCCTCCGCTCCTGCGTCTCTGCGCTCCGCCTGGAAACCCCGACCTGGAGCCCCGGAGCGGACCGGACCGGACCGGAGAGGAGAGGAGAGGAGAGGGAGGAGCCGGCAGGAGGAGGCCGGAGCGGAGCGGAGCGGAGTGGGAGGTCGCGGGTTCGAGTCCAGCGGAGGGAGGAGGAGGAGGAGGAGGACTATAACTAGTTTTAGATGAATTCACCTTTAACCTCCTGCTGCCCGAAGAATGAATGTGAATTAATCACTGAGGTTAAATAATGAGTTCAAACTTTTCTTACGAGGTGTTAAAGTGTGAAACTATCTGAGTTAAATTAAGGAAACTTAAGAAAACAAGTCCAGTCAACTTAAGATGTTGAGTTAATTCTAACCATTATTCACCATTTTTAAATCCTAATTATATAAATAAAAATATATTCAAATAACAGCACCATTAACGCCTTTTTTTCTGTGATTTTCTAACTATCTGTAATTTAACAAAACAAAGAAAACACGTAAACAATTATTATTATTATTGTTTACTATTTTTCAATTCTCAATATACAAATTTTTTATTTTTTTTTAAATAGTGTAATTTTACTGCCCAAAGTCATAAAAGAACAAATTAGAGTTTATAAAAATACAGATTTTTGAAGTGGACATTATTTCGAATTTATCTGTGTTTAATAATTATAAATGTAAAAGATTATATTATTTCTGTCATTTTACTAAATATCTTATTTTTTTTAAAAAGAAAAGAAAAATCAGCAAAATAACAAAAAATTGGCAAAAATAAATAAACGAAATTACAGTTTAACAGTTTTTTAAAACATACTTTTTGTGTGTGTGGATAATATATTTTATATTTTGTTATGTATTTAATTTATTTGTAACACAAAGTCAGACATCAACCTTCATCTCAACGTGTTTCCTGTAAATTTGCTGCCAATCAAAGGTGNGTCATTTATTTTTGGTGGATTTTAAAGTATTATTATGACGAGCTAAATAAAACAACAAATGCTAAAGAGTTTCCAACATTCATGGAGCTTTTTCTGCTGATAAAATCCATTAAATGATTAAAAGGAGACACAGAAAAGCACAGACGTGTCCAACTGCCTGCTTCGACTCAGAGGCCAGAAAGTGAAAAGAGGGGAAGTGGAGGCACCGCCGGGTCTTTTGTGGCAGCGATCGGCCCGACTTCCTGGTTTTCTCTCTCTGATCACGCACTCGTCGGCCAATTAACCGTCTGTGGCCTCCAGGTTTGGAAACGACCCCTGACCTCAGCTCGGGAGTCTGGACGGACGGTTTTCTGTCTGTTTTATAGACGCCGCTACGCATCTTAGAAATGTGTCAAACCTGAACAAATACGTGAAATCAATCCATTATAATTCAATTATTGTTTTTTGAAAATTAGTCTCATGTTCTTCTGTCAGAGATGTTAGCTCAGTTTTAATTTGCTTTAATTGTTTCTTCTGAACGTTCACCCAACGTCTTTGTTTTTACTAAACTTTAGCCGAAGCTAATATGAGGCCATAAAACCGGACTTCTGATCAAACATCTCAAAGTTGCGACTACAGAACGTCGCTCGGTGTTTTCTGGAGTTAAACCTCCGTTAATCGCTCCATCAGGACGGTGAGGCTGTGATTCCATCAGACTGAAGTGACACTAAAACACTTGAGCCGTCATCAGGTTCAGGTCTGGATGTTGTTACTGCTGCAGACCAGAACGTGACCCGGAGGTCTGAGGGTTAAGTTTAGGGTCCCTGGTTCGGTCAGGCAGGTGCAAAATGCCCAAACATAGTAAAAACCATCAGTTATTATATATTATAGAGCCTCCTGCTTCCTGCACATTTAAAACTAGAGACGAGAGGACTGAGGGATAAATAAACGTAGTGGGAAATGGACAAAAATGTGATTTATCGAAAACTACAAAGACCTCTGATCCTGTTCTCTGCACTGCTTATGAATTGTTTGCATCAATCTAAAGAACAAGTTTGGATTTTTTAAAATTTCTATGAAAGAATCTGTCTTTAACAAAAGGCTTCATCAGTCTGACAGGATGTTTTATATGAACTCAGACTGGAATCATGTCTATTCTCTGAACTTCGAGCAGATTCTGGCAGTTTTTTTGCTCCATTGTTCGTCACTGTAAGCTCATTTTTAAATGCAATATCAAGTCCTGCACCTCTGTGGAAACAAGCACGGCTATAAGCAGAAGAAACTCAGGAAAGTATTCTGTGCAGCATAACATGCAAAAATACCATAAACTTTAAAAAGAAAAAGAAAAAAAAATTACATTTCTTTGCTTATTTATTCATGAAATATTGAAAAGAAAAAGTGGAATCAACATAAACCATTTTATCAAGTGCCCACAGGTTCTACCAACACTAGGAGAACGTTAACACCTGCAGAACTCTTACTATTAACATTTTTTATCTGTTTCCGTCCTCGTTTCTTATCTTCTCTGTGTCAACACTGCCTGCAGTTCAACCAAAAGGTCCCTGAATTTTTGCTACGTACCCGCTGGTCTCTGTAGAGTCACTCAGAGCTTCATGGTTGCGTCATGAACCGCAGAATTTTTTGTTTTTCACAGAATGCGGTTACTGCAAATTATTAATTTTTCACAAATTTTGACGTAATATCATAATTTCTCACTGGAGTTATCATCCAGCCTTTAGCTGCTCGTTTTCTTTTAGCTGATTTGGTCGTCGTCTCCGCTGTCGGCGTGCTACTGATTTCAAATTTCACTTCGCGACAGGAAACAACAACCTCCGAGCTAGCAACCTGCAGCTCTACAAATCAGAGGGTTCACAGAGGATTCAGATCATTTTTACCGTGGATTCGTGAGCACAAACGTTCCACCAAAGCTGCCACTACCAGGAGGTGATCGTGATCGGTTTAAATAAACAAAAACAACAAAGCTTTTGCAGAATAATACTGAAATGCAGTCAGACCATTCTGACAGCTTCACACAGGTCAAAGTCTGTTTTTATAGTTTCTGGCTCCAGTAAATGGTGTCATTCTGGCCATTTTTTAAGACACTAACAAGCGTTCTGCACCAACTGGTGGGGGTTCTGGTCCAGATGGTTCATAAAAGACAGAAACTCCATCAGCCAGTGATGCTGTTCGTGGATGTACCTTAAACTGTTGCATTCTGGGCCGCCGAGGCCACCAAAGTGTGAAAACCTCCAGAAGAAGAAGCGACAAACTGAAACCTCCCGCTGAGCTGTGAGAGCCAGAATAAAGAGCCGGAGCTGTGGCCGCTAATAGGCTCTAACGGGAACCCATTGTGTTCTAGCTGCAGGGAACAAAGCATCGGGACGAACTGTGTGGAGGCTCATTACTGGGATGAAGCGCCAGCTCAGCAACTCTCTGCTCGGAGCCAAACGTCGATTAAAAGAAGCCTTCATCAGACGTACGTTCATTTGTTGGCGTTCTTTAATTCTGTAAACGCTGATGCACGGAACGTTTGAACATCCAGGGGATGTTTGGAGGACGTTGTCAGGTTACGTTCCAGGACAACGAAAGAAGAACCAACGTTCAAAAAAATGTTTTCAAGACGTTATCGAGACCTCAGATGATTTTCATAAAACGTTCCTGTAACTTAATATCTTTGTAAGATGGAACCTTTTGCCTGCAATGTTCTGGAAGTTCTCAATAGAACATTTGGAAACTGTCACCTTTAGAACGTCTTTAGAGAACTTTCAGCTTACATTCTGGTGACTAAAAGAAAACGTCCCACTGAAAACATCACTAGAACTTTGCAGAACTTTCTCAAAACGTTCTTAGAGCACAAAAATTCCAGCCGGTTCAAACAACAAGGAAACGTTCCCACAACATCTTCTGACATAACCTAGAAGTTCTAATAATGTTTGAAAGAAAACATTTTAATCTAATGTTTAAAGAACATTTTAAGGATATTAATCATTTCAAATAAAGTTCCCATGTGGTTAAAAGTTAACGAGGACAGAACTTTTTAACGTTTAAAGGATGTTTTGAGGATGTTACC